CAGCACTGTGGCAAAGAGCTAGAGTGACTATTAGTTGCTGAGAAAGGCCTCCGGATGATAGGCACTTGAGTCCTATGATCACAAGGAAATGTTGCTAACAACCAATGAGCTTGGAAGAGAATTCTGAGCCTTCAGTGAGAAGGCAGCTCAAGCCAACACCTAGATTAGTCTGGATAGAACCTATGCAGAATACCCAGATAACCTATACCCAGACTCCTGACAACTAGAAATTGTGATATAATACCTTCATGTTGTTCTAAACTGCTAAGTTTGTAGTAATTTGTTCTATTACAATAGAAAACTATTACAGAGTCCCATCCCAGAGATTGGCAGTCTATAGCAGTATAACAACCATGACACAAAATCACTGAGAATCTCAGTTCCTTGGCTCTCTCTGTTCCACCTTCCTTATTATCTGACGTCATTCTTCATAAAGCTTATCCTCAAAATGGCTGCTGAATCTTCAGCCACCCTAGCTATGTTCCAGACACAGAAAGAAGGAAAGAGGGAAAGGTCAGAGAGACATACCCAGGCAATCTCTTCCTCACTTTAAGGAAACAAAGAAATCTTATCTCGTGGTTTCTTATTTCTCATTAGCCAAAACTTACATGGTCACACCTAGCTTAAAGGAGACTATGTGAGCCCAATGGCTGCTCTTAAAAAGAAACAGAGAGGGGAACCAGCAGTTAGCGTAATGGCTATGTCACTGGACTCCCACGTAGTTGATCGTGGTTCGCGTCCTGGACCCGGTGGCTTAAAACTCACGCCGGGCGCGTGTGCGTGCGTGCCCAAGATCCCGAGAGGAGAATGGAGGAGAAGGGATTGCAGCGTGACCATCCCCCCTGGGGGGTGATTTCTCGCTTTCTGTCTCTATGTCTCTCTCTGTCTGTCTGGCGAGCACACACGCCCTATAGCAAAAATCTCTCCAAAAAAAAAAAAGAAAAGAAAAGAAACAGAGAGGGACCAGCAGTTGGTATAATGGCTATGTCACTGCACTCCTGTGTAGTCGACCACGGTTCAAGTCCCGGACCCGGTGGCTTAAATTTACACTGGACATGTGTGCGTGCATGCCCAAGATCCCGAGAGGAGAATGGAGAAGAAGGGATTGTGGTGTGGCCATCACCCCAGGGGGTGATTTCTTGCCTTCTGTCTGTTTCCATGAACTTCTTGAAAACTCCTCATATGTGTCCTTTTTTTTTTTGAGATGACTGAGGGGATCCATAAGTCACAAATCTAATTTCCTCAGAGTCCTAAATGTGGCCGTGCTGTGAGTCAATCTTTCTTCAGAAGCACTAGCAAAAGGTCATCCAACTACACCTTAGCTTCTCTTTTTATTATTTTTCTTAGAGTTTTGTGGTTTTGTTTTTTGTTTCTTTGTTTGTTTGTTTGTTTTTGCTATAGGGCACGTACGCTCACCAGAAAGACAGAGAGAGACAGAGAAATAGAAAGTAAGAAATCAGCCCCCAAAGGGGATGGCCACGCCACAATCCCTTCTTCTCCATTCTCCTCTCGGTATCTTGGGCACACACACACACACACACACACACGCCCAGCATGAGTTTAAGCCACCGGATCTAGGACTCAAGTGTGGTTGACTACATGGGAGTTCAGTGACATAGCCCTGCTGGTCCCTACCTTGACTTCTCTTCAGAGCAGGCATTTCTGTCAGTGTAGCTCTGATTTCAGTGTCCTGTGCAATCTGAACAGGCTGAGGAAATCCTAAATTATCAAGTCTCTCTTCCTTTCTGCTTAATATGTTTTCCCTTGAGTATCTTTCTTCTCAGACTATAACATAACAGCAAGACTAAACTACTATGTACCTTCAACATTTTGCTTAGAAACATCTTCACCTAAATATCCAAGTTTATTACTTACAAGTTCTACTTTCCACACAAGTATAGGACAAAACTCAGCTACGATTTTTGCCATTATTTAACAAAAGATCTCCTTTCCTCCAGTTCACAATAACATGTTCCTCATTTCCTTCTGAGCCCTCACCAGAAGCACGTTTAATTTAATAGTCTTATCAACATTCTATTTATGATGACATAGGTATTTTCTGAGATGAGACATACAGACTTTTTCTACCATGTTCCTTTCTTTCTCCTGAGCCCTCACAGGCCAAGTCTTTAACAGCCACATTTCCACCAATGGTCCCTCCAGGAAAATCTAGGCTTTTTCTACTATCTTTATCCTCAAAATTCCAGCCTTTCCCCATCACCCAGTTCCAAATCCACATCCACATTCTTACGTATTTGTTACCGAATTCCAAAGCCATTTCCCCATGTTTAGGTATTTGTATACATACCCCATTTTCTGGTACCAAAATCTATGTTAATTATCCATTGTTTATTTGATAAATTACCACACATTCAGTGATTTAAGACAATACAAATTTGCTCTCTTCTAATTCTGGTAGTTAGATGTTGAATGCCAACAAGGTGGCAGGGCTACATTCCTTTGGGAGGCTTCCTTATAGAATCCATGTCCTTACCTTTTTAGCTTCTAGAGAGGATCCACATTCCTTGAATAATGGCCACCTCTTGTTTCCATCTAACTCCCACTACTAGCTGTCTCATTCTTATAAGAATCCTTTTAATGGGCATGCTAAAATAATCGAGGATAATCTCTTTCTCAATATTCTTAACTTAACATATGCAAAACCCCTTTACCATGTAAAGTAATATATTTATAGGTTTCAGAGATTAGAACATGGCCATTTTTGGAATAGCAGGGGTCGGGGTTCATTATTCAGCTGACCACTATACTGTAATGGTGAAGACATGAGTTGCACTTGCCAGAACCCATAGAACTTTACCACTCAAAGAGTGAACCTTAACATATGCAATTGAAAAAATCATTTGGGATACCAGAAAATCCCAGAATGTAAAGCAGAATGTGATACAACAATCTACCTACATTACAAATGTATGAAACAAACTCAGTGAGTGGGTTAGAGGGAAAAGGCATTAACTTGAGTGCTTTGGAAATAAAAAAAGGGAACCAGGATGTGTTTTTGTTTTTGTTTTTGTTTTTGTCTTTGTTTTGGAAAATGGCTAATTCTAAGATTGGGACAGGAAACATACAGGATAAATCTAGAGCTTCATGTATCACCATAAGAAAGAACTCAAAAGCACAAAACAAACAAACAAAGAACCCCACAATGATGGAGTAGGTCAAAGGGGTGAAAGACACAGGAGCCCAATTGAAAGAACTCCCAGTGGTCAGAACTAAAACCATTTGAGCAACCAAATAAACTATTGATAGTACTGAGTGATAGCCAAAAGAATAAAATAAATATCAATGAGTCCATATTAACAGAAATAAATGTTTGAGTAAATTAAAATAGGGACACAAGAGACAAATCTCTGCTCAGAACAAATCCAAATAACTTACATCCCCAAGGAGATGGAACATAATTCCCATTCCCTGAATGAGTGCTACAGAGAGTGACTTCCCTTCAAAGAGAGAAAGAAGAAAAAAGAGAAGCAACTTGATAGAGGAGAGACCTGACAAACACTACCCAGCCAGGGGATGAAGTTCCATGTCAACAGTGATGAGTAATTTGGACAGTAGGAAAACATCACTCTCTCTTTGTGGTCTTCCTCCCAAGAACCCATGGCCCCAGTATAATCACAAGGGGAGAAAGCATCAGACAAATCCCAATAAAGGAGCATCCTTCAGGCATACTGCAAAACCATTAAGGCCATCAAAACAGAAAATCTTCGAGCAACTATGACAGCCAAAAGAAGCCTACAGAGACATGACTGCTAAGTGGAATGTGGTATCCTAGATGGAATCTGGAAGAGAAAAAAAGGACTTTAAGTGAAAACTAAGGAAATCTGAATAAAGTATGGGCTTTCGTAATTATGTGCAAGTATTGGTTCATTATTATAACAAATATTCCACATTAATATTAGATATTAAAAATAGGGGAATCTGGGCTTGGGGTATATGGAAACTCTGTTCTACCTCTGCATGTTTCTTGTGAGTTTAAAACCATTATAAAATTTTAAAAAATATTTCAGAATAAAATAAGCACAAAATGCTTAGATTGGGCAAAGTATTATGGCAATCCTGGGACTTAGGAAGACAGTGTTAGACTAGGTCAGTCCTCAAAGCACACCGCTGCCGTTCTCTCTCCTGAGTTACTATTGATATTAGAAAAAGGAGCTTGAAAAATCATTATCTAGAAGAGCAATGTGTGTGTGTGTGCATAGACATGTATTTGCATTTGAAATAACAATAGAGTGTATCGATACATTTCCTTCCCTTGCTTATGACATTGATGGGTCAACAGTGATGGTTATTAAAAATATAACATTTGAACTGGCTGTGTAGTGCAGTGGTTAAGCATTGTGCATTAGAAAACCAATCTCATATTGCAGACTGTGGTTCAAATCCTGGCCCTGGTGGCTTGAAAAACACACCAGGCTTGTGCACAAGTGTGCCCCAAATCCTAAAGACATGAAGAGATAGATGAAAAAAGATTACAGAATGGCCATGCCCCATGGAAGTGGAGGTGCTTTCTCTCTGTATTTCTCTCTCTCTCTCTCTCTTTAACAAGTGCCTGTGCCCTCTGGCAAATAAATAAATAAATAAAATTTAGCATGTGCAGGTCAGGTAGTGGTGCAAAGTAGTGCAACTGTACCCACTTGGGAAAGGTCCTGTGTTCACATCCCGGTACCTCCCTGAGCATACTTGGCAAGCATGCCTGCTCGTAATCCAGGCTAGTTGAACCCAGGGGTGGATCATGGCATGAAGACTTGGTTGAGGGTGCTGTTTCCCTCTCTTTCAGAAGAATGAGTTAAATTTTTTTTTGTTGTTTTTATAAGTTTTTGTCTTAGGATGTGTGTGCTCACTAGGAGAAGAGAGAGAGAAACAGTGAGAGGGAAAGTGAGAAACCACTTCCTTCAAAGAGGATGTGGGTTAAATGGTTGTGAGATTCAAGGTGAAAATAAATTCCAGGGTAAACCGAAAGTCAAAAGACAAGCTCTAATCATTCAAAGGTCTGTGATTGTATGAACTTAGAAACTTGGTCTCGACAGGTACTCTCCAAAGAAGACCAGGAGCTGACTAGTTAAAAGGGTAAGACTAATAATACAAGATTTCATCTCATTCTAAAACTCTCCTTTCTTTGATTCTAGCTGGTACTGCTCTTCTTAAATAATGTTCTTCAACCCTCTTATACTACATGTCTGAGGCTGCTTCTGAAAGAAACTGGAAGAACCTAGCAAAGCGAGTTTTGGTCAAATTCATTTGGCTTTGGTGTTCAGCTTCCCAGCAGAAATCCAGGTCAGTCAATCAGAATGCAATTTGCTGAAAACCTGCTTTTTGAACATAAGCATCAGCCAATGCAGGGAAGGAGAAAAAGAAATATGAAGCATGGTGGTATAGCCCTGCATTTACAGGATGGAGCAGCCAGACACAGCTCAGATAGGGTATTTTGAAGTAAATATATGAAATTGAGCAGTTTCCTGGTTTCTGTCAACTGAAGATTAGGAGGCAAAAGTTAAATGCAGGCTTTTATATTCTCCACAAATGAAATGTGATGTTCAGAAAGCTCCTTGTAAAGCATTCGCTGGATAGCTGTAATTTATGAACAGTGTCCTTGCACCTAGAAAACAGAGAAATCTTCTGGACATATCAATGGGGCATAAAAGACTAGTAATCTCCAACTCAAGAAACCCACAATTCCTCCCACCACTCCCCAAAATATACAACTCTTCAAGTTAGAGAGGTGAGATTAGCGTTAAATACTAAAGTGAGATTAGCAATGAAATGAACCATGTACATCGTGGGAGTAGGGGACAGGTGATAGAGGTGGAAAGAATGGTGGGACAGTGGTTGGTTTGGGATTGTTTGGGGGATTTGTTTGTGTTTGGGTTGGTCTGTTATTTTGTTGTTTAGTTTTGGCTTTGTCTTGTTTTCATTGTATCTTATTTTATTTGGGTATCTCTCTCACCAAACTGTAAGCCCCTTGAAGGACAGCCCTATAAATCTTATGCATGATTAACCCAGCCCAAGCACAGGGTCATAGTCCCCAAAAGACACTTCATAAACATATGCTGTCGGAAACCACAGAGAGGGTTTTGGTTTGACAGTATACAAGAAGCAAAGATTGCCGACAGTCTCCTCTGCGGGACACAAGTGCCTGTCCCTTGCAACAGGTGAAAAACAAGGAACAAAGGAAAATCTTTAGAGCGCAGATTTCTCTTCAGGTGAAGCCAACAGCCCAAGGCGTCCTGGCGCATTCTCCATTTGGGAAAATACGCTTGGGCACAGCCCAGATGGTCTCATCCTATTCAATCCATGTCTGCTGTGTTTACAGCTCACGGAGCCAATTACCACCGAAAAACAGACGAAGGGGCCGAAGCTGTTTCAGTTTGATGTGACTCAGTGACAATCTTTGACCTTTTTCTTTAAAAAAAAAAAAAAAAAAAGAAAAACAGTGACAATCTTTGTCCTTTTTCTTTAAAAAAAAAAAAAAAAAAAGAAAAGAAAAGGAAAGGAAAATTCCCTGCATCTGTGTACAAACAGAATAATTATATATTTCTCCAAAGGAAGGAAACAGGCAAAATATAAACACTTCTGTGGTTCATCTTTTCTGCTTGGGTTCAAAAGGCAGCCCTGACCCTTCTCAGCTCCTCTGGTGTCTGGGCTGTCAGGGCAAACTTGTCCAGTGCTGCTTGCACTTTTACTTCATGGACCTAGCTGCTGACCCTGAGGGCAGCCATCCCAGAGCCCCAGGAACAGCCCCCGACTGCCGGCTGCTGAGCCCAGGGGACTGGAAGAAAGGCACCAGTTACTTTATAAGGTAAATGAATGCACCAGATGCTTCTTATCACAAAGTCTGAAGCGAGGCTGCAATTACACATTACAGCAGGGGGTGGGACATCTAGAAGGTTCCATGATGTAGGCTGTCCTAGAGGAGCCAGGGTCTTCGTTCATAGCAGTAACGGCAGAACTCGCAATGTGGTGCAGAGACTCCTCCTCAGTCTCTACCCATCACTGTCACTATGGCCTGCCCTGCCCGGGGGGCTGGGAGAGGCTGTCATGGCCCCAGTGGTAGGCACTGGTGACACAGGTCTCATTGATATTATTTTACATACTGGGGAGTTCGTAGTCTGCTCCAGTCGAATTTTTTCCTTCGGTTTCTGCTTCCGTGTCCCAGAAGACATCTTTCTTTTTTTTTTTTTCCAGAGGGTGTGTGTACTCTCCAGGGACAGAGAGAGGGAGAAGGAGAAAGGACCCCCAGTGGGGTTTAGTCCCTCTGCAATCTCTCTCCTCCATTTCTTCATCCTGTCAGGATTCCAATTGCTAGAATTCAAACAAGGGTCAGTCACATGGGATCCAGCCCCCTATAACTGCTAGGCTATAGGGCCTGCCCTAATTTTATTACTCTAATGACCCCTCTTTAGCCTTCTGGCTTCCCAGATGCTAAGGATAGTTTACATTAACCAGAACAAATAATAACAAGTTTCTGTACTGATAAATAATATCCAAATGTGGGTGAGTCACATATACTCCACACTATTCAAATAAAAACAGAGGCATAGCTTCTGGAGGTGTCTGCTTCCTATAACAGGCAAGGTAACTAGATAACTAGATCAAATATTCCATAGAAGAACAATCTTCTGAAAAGTACCTACTTTCTAACATGGAACAGTGCCTCTGTGTGCCATTAGTAAACATTAATGACGTAAAACACTGAGAAAAGATGGGACCCGCAGTTAGCATAATGGCTATGTTGCTGAACTCCCATACAGTCAACCGTGGTTGGAGTCCTGGACCCAGTGGCTTAAACTCATGCTGGGCGGGTGTGCATGCGTGTCTAAGATCCTGAGAGGAGAATGGAGGAAAAGGGATTGCAGCATAGCTATCCCCCCAGGGGATGATTTCTCGCTTTCTGTCTCTCTGTCTCTTTCTGTCTTTCTGATGGGCACACGTGCCCTATGGCAAAAACCTCTCCAAATTAATTAATTAATTAATTAAAGAGGGGGATGGGGATTCACACCATAGCCCAATTCATTGAGCTTGGATTCCTCGTGTCCCTATATTATAGTATAAAACAGTAACTGACAGTCATGAACATGAACTGAACCAACTGTCAGGGCAAGTTAATGTTATTTAGATACTCTGTAGATACAAAATATAAACACTTTCTCAGTTCATCTCTTCTGTTTTGGTTCAGAAGGCAACCCTGAGCCTTCTCACCTCCACTCTGGCATCTTGCCTGCTGTCCCAGTGCTCACGGTGATTCATGATATAAATGTTGCTTTGACATTTGAAGGCATATGGAAAAACTGCAGCTACATGGAATGCTGGATTATCAGAGAATGCTGCATAAATGAAATGCTATTATGTTCTCTTTTTTTCTGTTCAGTGAATAAGAAATCGTATGTTGAGCCATTTTTTTTTTAAGAGTTTTTTGTTTTGGTTTGTTTTTCTGGTTTTTGGGGTTTTTTTGTTTTGTTTCGTTTTTGTTTTTTTTGCTACAGGGCGTGTGCACTCACCAGAAAGACAGAGAGAGACAGAGAGACAGAAAGCGAGAAATCACCCCCCAGGGGGAATGGCCACGCCGCAATCCCTTCTCCTCCATTCTCCTCTCGGGATCTTGGGCATGCACGCACACGCACCCAGCATGAGTTTAAGCCACCAGGTCCAGGACTCGAACCGCGGTCGGCTACGTGGGAGTCCAGCGACATCGCCATTATGCTAACTGGTGGTCCCTGTTGAGCCTTTTTTATTTATTTTTTTTTTTGAGAGGTTTTCACTATAGGGCATGTGCGCTTGCCAGACAGACAGAGAGAGACATAGAGACAGGAAGCGAGAAATCATCCCGCAGGGGGGATGGTCATGCTGCAATCCCTTCTCCTCCATTCTCCTCTCCGGATCCTGGGCACACACACACACACGCCCATCGTGAGTTCTAAGCCACCGGGTCCGGGACACGAACTGCGGTCGACTATGTGGGAATCCAGCGACATAGCCATTACGCTAATTGCTGGTTCCCCTGTTGAGCCATTTTTGAAATATGAACCAAAGTAACACTTTGGCATCAGGCTAAAAATCCTGCAACGGCTCCTGTTCTGTAAACATCAGAGTACGTTTACCACCTTACCATGGACTAAGCTCCCTGCAGGCCAGAATCTTTGGGAAGGTTATTCTCCAAGCCCACTTCTGGCAAAATGTGAGCACTAAACCTGGTGAGGCCGCAGGGGTTAGGTGAAGGTTCTCCAACCCCTGCAGGGGATTCAAACACCCAATTAAGCAGCATGTGAAGCTGCAAAGACACACCAGAGACAGCAGCACCCCTGCATGTAGGCACAAGGGCTGGAGCAGGTACCCCTTCTCAATTTGTGTTTGATCCCAAGTACACGAGGTTGAAGTCAGAGACATATCCTTAGTCTTTATGAAGTGTCTTCTAAGTGACTCCTCATCAGTCACCCACCTGTTAAGAGGCCACTACCTCCCCAGTACACCTTCCTAGTAGTTCCTGTGAACATGATTTTTCAAAGAAGGTAGAAATCGGGGCCAGCAGGTGGCATGGTAATTAATGTGCCGGATTCCCATGTGGCTTATTGCCATTTGAGTCCCAGACCTGGAGGCTTGAAAATCACTCCAGGTGGGTGTGCATGCATTCCCAAAATCCCAGGAGGAGAAGAATGGATGAGAAGGGATCGCAGTGCAGCCATCCTCCTAGGGGATGATTTCTCACTTTTTCTCTCTCTCTGCCTCTCTCCAGCAAGTGTACCACGTGCCCTATGGCAAAAACCTTCCAAATAAAAGAAGGTAGAAACTGATAGATAACAATGTGGGGAAGACAATAGCAGGCATCAACAATAAGGAGCCTAGCCCACTTTTTAAAAAGGGGTTAAGGTTAAGAGACTTTGCCACAGTACCTCAACCAGTCTAATCTACCCTTCCTCTGTCATACCTCCTAAACCCAAATCCAGCGACTTCCACTCCAAGCCATGTTATCTGGCTCCTGGGAGTCCTTTTCTCTTAATACATTTCCCTGCTTTCTATTTTGCTTGCTATAGCCCATTCTTCATACAGCAGTAGGCAATCCTTTTTTTAAAAAAGAAAATTATTGAATTTCATTTATTATTATTTAATTTGCACATGGTGGCAGGGGTGAGAAAGCAAGCTGCCAGGTTCAGGACTCAAACTGTGGTGGGCCATGTGGAATCCAGCCCCTCAACCACCATGCCATATGCTGGCCCCATAAGTGATCCTTTTAAAGCAGAAATTCTACTGTTCATTCACTGCTTTATTCTTCACAAAGGTCTCCCATCCTTTAGAATAAAATTCAAAATATTTTGTATGGCCTCAAAAGCCCCACTGTATCTGGGCCCGCCTGCCTTTCTGTGTCTCCACTACCTCTGCTCTCGAGGCTGTTCTGTCTATGGAAACGGTGTATAAAGGTGCTCCACTGCTCTTTCTTCCTGATTCCCCCTTCAGGGGTGCCTGTGGCCTGAAACTGGTCACAGCAGGAGTATTGACACCACAGAAAGGGGCAAATGTCACAAATCGAGGCTTGATTTATTACCTCATTGATTATCTGGACTTAAAAAAGTGATGGGGAAAATTTTAATGATACAGATTAATCTTAAAAGTGTGTCAGCCTGTAACTTACATTGAGAATAGCAAAAGAAAAAAAAAGCTAAGGACATAGTCTTGGAATATTTGAAAACTATTATCTGATTCAGCAAAGAAATTGCTTGTCATTGGTAAACAAGTGACATTCTGACATACATTTTCATTTTGTTTCACTTTCATCTCACCCTTTAAAGCCAACAAAATGTCAACCAACATTCACATCAAAACTACGCTCATTTATCAATTGCAGCCATGGGTTGTCTCTGATACAAGTCTGGCAAAAACCAATGAAAGCGTTCTGTGAACATCAACTTGCTATGTGAAATTTATAGTAAAGAATACTGAGTATGTTACTGTTTTTATTATTAAATTGTGTAATACACATATTGTAAAATAAACTCATGGTCATAAATACTTTTTTTTTTTCTGCTACAGGATAATGAGCTCACTGGAGAGAAACAAAGAGAGAGAGGGAAAGTAAGAAATTACTCCCCAGGGGGATGATCATGCCACTGCCACAACCCCGTCTCCTCCATTCTCCTTTGGCCAACATATTTTTCAAGCCGCCGGGTCTGGGACTCAAACTGTGTAGTCAGCCAAGTGGGATCCAGCTATGTTAACCACCAGCCACCAGTTGGCCTAACACATGCTTTTTTTTATTTTAGAAAGCCAGATTTTAAACATCTGTCAGCACACTACTGGCTGAACACCAACCCTAGAGCTCTAGGTTCAGTAAGACTGAGACAAGGCCTAATAATTTATATTTCTAAAAAGTTCCCAAGGGATACTAATGCTGTTGATCTGGAGACCACTCTCTGAGACCTCTGACCTCAAAGGAAAGGAGGCTACCAATATGGCTCTTCTATTAACAGATAAGACTATCCAGCTCACGGCGCTCAGTCACCAAATACGTCATCAAACCAATATTGACTTCTGCTAGAGGAGACGTTACAATTTAATTCTACAAGTCAATATTTGCTCAATAGATGATAAATCTTGAAGCAAAGCAAAGAGAGGCATTAACTCCATCTGGCCTGCAGCCAGCTCAGTATTATGACATGAAGGGAGTGCAAAGACTCAGCCAATAGACTGACCCCAATAATCTGCCATGTCACCCCAAACCCCCACTAATAGAATCAACTCGGAAAGCCCTTGCAGAAGTCCATGTATTTTTCCAGGAGGCTCATGATAGTAGCCAACTGAGACATGGAACTCCATGAACCACCTGCTTTATTCCCAGACTAAGGCCGGGCATCCCTCCTTCTCTGCACACCTGTACCTACTTCTTGTAGTAACTTGCTCCTCTTTCTTTATGAACCATGGGTTCACAGAAGGTCATTATTTATCACTCTCGTGATTTAAAAAGCAGCACTCTATAGTTTCCCAGCCAGGGTTAGAATTCCAGTTCTGTTTCATGTTAGGCTAATCACTTGACCTCTCTGTATCTCAGTTCCTCATAAAATGGAAGCAATAATAATGATTCCTGATAGAATTGTTTTGAAACTTCAATGACTTGGCGTTTTAACACGTTTAGAATAATACCTACCATACGAATAAGTACTAACTAGATTAATAACTCATTTTTGTAACTGACCTGCACATTTTAATTTATATTATTATCATTTAGATGATTCCAATAATCTATTCTATTAAGGGCCTTTGAATGCCTATGTGCTCCTCCCCTACACTCTTCCCTGCCTCTTTATTTGATGTAAACACAGGTTTAACATTTACATAAGACCTTCTTTTGCATATTAACACATATGTATTTCTAAAAATAGGTTGTTCCATTTTAGTTGCTTTTAATTTTATTAAAAGTCTATCCTGGTGGAGACCAGTAGGTGGTGTAGTGGTTGTGTCATGGGACTCCCCTGTGACTGACTGACCTTGGTTCAAATTCCAGACCTAGTGACTTGAAACTCACACCCAGTGCATGTGTGTGCATGCCCAGAATCCAGAAAGGAGATGGCAGGAAAGGGCATTGCAGTGTGGCCAACCCTCCTGAGTGATTTTTTTTTTTTTTTTGCTTTCTGTCTCTCTGTCTCTCTCTGTTTCTCCACCAAGCACATGCCTTATAGCAAAAATCTCTCTCAAAAAAAAAAAAAGAAGAATAAAAAAGCATATTATGGTGTATATAATTTTTTGGACTTTGAAAAATTCAGTATTATATTGTGACTAATAATATTGTATAGCTGCAGTTTAAATGAATGGTTTACTGTTTTTATGTAGTATTTTTTTATAACTACGTATAGTTTAAGCATATTACAGTGTAAATAATTTTCTGGACTTTGAAAAATTCAGTATTATAGTGTGATGTATAGCTGCAGTTTAAATGAATGGTTTACTATTTTTATGTAGTATTTTTTTATAACTACGTATAGTTTAATCACATGGAGTGGGCTATGTCAGTCCAAACTCATGGTCTAAAATTTTCTAACTGTGGGGACCAGGCAGTGGTGCAGTGGCAATGCTACTGGACCCACTTGGGAAATGTCCTGGGTTTGCCTCCCAGGGCCTGCCTGTGCTCAGGGCGTAGGCACGCACACCCATGATCAGGACAGCTGAGACGGGTGGAGATCCTGTCTAGGGTGTTTGTCTGTCTACTGTCTCTCTCTCACTCACGAAAGAAATAACCTTTTACAAAATATTTTTTAATGTTTAAATAACAATTTCTAACTTTTAAAAAGTGCCCAGATTTGTGAAGACCTCCCTGGAAATTACAGTCAAAAGTCTGGTGCTCCCACCCTAGCCCTGTACATAAGAGCTGCAGCTTGACATGCCTCCACCTGAATACAACCCCCTCACCACACCCTCTCCTCACTTCACTTTTACGTCTTGTTCTTCTACTTAGATCTGCAAATGATGTCCACTTCAAGGGCTGTCACCCTTGGTTTAGTCACCAGACACACTAGCTTAGACTCTGACCACGGCACCTCAATCTCCTCTTCCTCATCTCAGTCCCCGTCTGCTTGTTCCTGGCTTGCTCTCTTCTCACTGAGGCTGAGATACCAGAACAGGGGTCTGTCAAGGAGCTCAGGGAAGGGTGGTGACCCACAGGATGGGTCTGTCACACCCGGACAGCATGAAAGCCCCAGATGCCTACAGAGAGCTGGGTGTGGGGAGGAAGGCAGAGATGGTTAAAAACATACTCAGCAGCAATCACAATTTTGCCTCGGGGTGATCCTGGGAGAAGTGGTGACAGGGGCAAGGAAAGTAGTGGTTAGAGTTATTTTGACAACATCCCAAAACGTATCTGGAAATATGTCTTTCGTAACACCAGCACAATCAGAAACTGCCTGAAATTACTGTCTTTTCTTTCAAGCCAGATGACGTGGGAAATTGACAGAAAATGAAATCTGGTTCTCAATGAGGGTCTTTGGTAGAGAAATCAAATACTCCCTGGGACTCCTTGGGGCTAGGGAAACAGCCTTGCATCCTGAATGCATCCTCGGAAACTGATTGATCAGTTCCCGCAAGATAATCTTTCAGGAAATTGACCATCAGGGAGCACTGTGATTCACCTGTTTGCAGGCTTGAGGAGAAGATTTCTCTTACAAAACTGGGCTTCTGCAGCATTGCTCTGTTCATGTCTGTGAACGTTCTGAGTCTACCATTGGAAGGAGCACCTCCACAGTCGAGCATCAGCATCCCCGGTACCCAGAAGAGTCTCTGAATGTCAAAACAGTACATGGAAGTGGGGGAGGAGGAAGGGAGGGCAGGAGAAAAGAGTTGAAGTGGCCCCAAGTAAAGGAAAGACAATGGGACCTTCCAGTGGAGGCACCTTCCCTCAGGACCACACCTTCACCTCTTTGATGGCCTTCTCCTCTAGATTCAGCATGTGCGGAAGAGAGGAGCTGATCTGCCAGTGCCCGTGCTATCCTAGGCTGCTCCCGGAAGTACCACGTCACTTTCTCAAATAAAACGAGCAGGTTGGACCCGATGATTCACGGTATTCCTATCAAATCTTTCTATGATTTTGTACTCAAAGTCAAATTAATAACCTTTTGCACATGTGTGCGGATGTGCACACACACACACATGCACACAATCAAATTTTTCTATTTCTACTCATAGTATCAACATTCACCCAACTACCTGGGCTCATAAGGTCTATGTTGTTCTCACTACCCCTCTGTTAATTTCAGCATCTGAGATATTGACTAGATTCTAATGATGATAATGAAAATAACAGCTCTTAGCAATATGCATATACAATCTATACATTATAGCAGCACATATACCATACTACAGTATTTTATGATAATATTATATACATATTACTAAATATATAAGCTGTAATACATACTATATTATACATCACATATTAAATAATATGTCATAAAGTGGCATTTATTATTATAACAAATATTAATAGCATATATAATAGTAGTATACAGTAAATATTACATATTATTATGAACTGAATGTTTTTGTCTCCCAAAAATTCACATGTTGAAATCCTAACCCCTATTGTGATGGTATTAGGAAGAGAGGCCTTTTGAGATCATTATGTCATCAACTTGGAGCCCTTATGATGAAATGAAATAAGAGAGGAAGAGTCACAAGATCTATCTCTTTAGCATGTAAGGTACAAAGAGAAGGCAGCCCACTGCAAACTGGGCATCAGGACAGACACCAAATCTGCCAGTACCTTGAACTTGGACTTCCCAGCCTCCAGAACTGTGAGAAATAAAATGTTTGTTGTTTAAGCCACACAGTCCACGATATTTTGTTACAGCAGCCTGAATTAACTAATACATATACACACACTACAAACATGTACTGTATATTACATATTCTCTATTTATACTTTATACATGTCATGTGTAGTGTAATACCACTTTTGACACACCACTTACCATGTATCAAGTCATAATTTACATTTATTGACTCATTTTTCTCATTACAACCCTTGAGGTATGTACTAGTTTTGCAGACAAGGAAACTGAGGTACAGAAAAGTCAAGTGACTTGCCCAAAGGTCACACAGCCAAAAAGTGACAGAGCTAGTACTTGAACCTAGGCCATGTTGTTCTAGTACCATGGACTCCTTCCTCAGGTAGTGTCCACTTGAGACCCCTTGTTCTTGTTCCTACCTTCAAACTACTATAGCTGTCCTGCCTGGGTTCCCTCCCAGTCATCCTCCCACTATGGCCGGACAGAGGGGTACTTGCTCTGACTCCATTTCTCCCTGCATTTTGGCACTAAAGATTTTTACACACCAAGCCAATTGGCCTCTTCTCATTCTCTCTCCTTCCCTGGCCCATGACCCTTCCCTTTGTCCCTTTCCAAGATCCCACAGTGGGTGCCCCTCCCTGAACTGTTGGGGTTCCCAGGATGCTCTCCCCCAACCCCTCTTCATTCTACACATACCCTCTTTCCTCTCCCATGCTCCTAGCTTATCTCTCAGCAGGTAGATGCCATTTCTATACCCCATCAACACCAGCACCCCTCCTGATGGACTCTGGATGCCATCCTATACCTTGGTCAACATGTCCCAAACCAAACACATTCCTTGCAAAGTGGGGTCTAATCTTATATTTACTGCCTCCATTAGTGACCCTGGAGTCCACTTGTCCTCAAGGAGAAACCTGAGAATCACCCTTGATGCTTCCTACTGTCTCACCTTCTACGTCTGAGACTAAAGTTCATCTCATTTTCAGTTCTGCACTTTTTCTCTAACCTTTCCCTTGCCCACGGCACTCCCACATGTCCCTGGATGGCCTTATTTATAGGATAAGTCCAACTGTGCCCTTTCTTTTTAACTTTTTTAAATGTATTTTTCTTCCATGACTAAGAGAGTCAGAGAAACAGCACTCCCAATGGAGTTGACACCATGACCCACCCCCAGTCACAGTCAGCCTGGATCATGAGCACACCCAGGGTACTAAGGGAGGTCTCTGACCATGAGCCTGGAACTTCCCAGGAGCGTCAACCTCGCAGAGCATTGTGTTTCACTACTGTGCCACTATCCAATCCTTGTCTCCCTATCAGGCTCCTCATGAGCCAAATTCCAAATGCTTTGGCATAATGGGCAAGGCTTTCTGTGATGCTCGTTTTTCTGGGCCTATCTCCTATCACCCCCTTCTTTATATTTTATGCTCAAATTCTCTCCCTGACCTACTCCATCTTTCTACCTTTACTCAGACCATTTCCTGAAAGAACCTGTCGGCCTTTTGGTTGCCTCGTTCCCCCATGAGTGCCTTACACCCAACTCACCTCCAGTATCACCTGCCTCCAGATCACCTTCTTTGACTCCCATGGGTCTTTTTTCTATCCTCCCAAACCTCCGAATGCAGGCCTCTAGACCACCCTGACCACACTGCTAGTCAACATCCAGTTCCATGAGCGACTGGAGGACATTGACCACATCAGGCATCTCTGTGGGCTTCAGGAAACCTTGTTGTGGCCCTACAGCTCACAGGATTCCAGGATTCCAAGGCAATTATATGTTCCCTCTCTTGTACTTGCTCATATTCTTCCTCCTTCTGTTACTGATTCAAGAAGCATCTCCTTTGCCATCCTTTTCAGAGACTGTCTTCTAGTAGTCCACAACCAGGTGTGACCTCTCCTTTCTCTGATCCCTGAAGATTTGGGATAAAAATTAAAGATAGAGAGACACAGTTCTCTAGAAATGGAAAGAAAGAGAGGGAGAAAAGGTAAGAGCAGAGGGATAGCATGAAAGGAACAGGGGCTTGGAGAACAGTTGCAGGGTCTAAAACAATGAGGGAGCAGCAGGGGATTTTTTTTTTTTAATTGCTGTGGGTTAAGAATCAGATCTTCTTACATGTTTTTGAGAGATACTTGCAAATATTACAATAACTTGTATCTTTTTATTGAACTTTGTTAGCTAGATCATGTGTGGGTTTTGTTTTGTTTTATTTTGTTTTTCCAATGTGACAAAATACTGAGACTAGGAGATTCAGGGCCTTGGATTTATTTATTTTATTTTATTATCATAAAATCAACATGACCACTATGTTGTGTTGTCATGTATACCATATGTCTTGTTAGCCCATGTGCAACTGGTGTGTGTATGTGTGTGTGTGTGTGTGTATGTGTGTGTGAGAGGGAGAGAGAGAGAGAGAGGAAGTGAACTGAGCCTTAGGATCTCATTTTATCCCTCCATGCTTTCAGCAGGGAGAGCAAAGGGCTGATAGGAAGATCAGGGGCTCAACTCTGTGCATCTTGTATTATGAGCTGTGTATGGTTGGTTCATCTTTACCTGAGAATCCACAGAGGATGGTTTCTACTTGTCACAGTACCAAGCACTTAGCTGCTTTCTTCCTGACACAGCTTCTTCTGTCCATCTCAAACTAAACACTAAATTGTGATGGAAATCTAGAACCTGTTGTCTTTTGCAGAATTCCAAAATATATCCCAAAGCAATACTGTGGGCAGATGAAGTAAACACACCTTGATTTAGCTACCTTGAATGCCACGTCACACGGGGCCTCTAGGAGGAGTCCCACAAGAGCACGCCCTCACTTCTTAACTCTATCCCCCAAACCTCTTTGTGTGCTTCTCACAGACCTCTCCGAAGCCTTCTACCTACCATCTGATGTTGCCCGGTCTTTTATTAAAGACCCCTCTCCAGAGGGCAGCAGAGTCCCATCCCCACGCTTCTTATATCTTACAGATTCGGCCACTTCAAGCTTTGTCTGGACATTCAAGGAGACTTCTGCTCATCTCAAGGAGTAGCTCTGGTCTGAGGGGCGGGGTCCATTGGAATGAGATGGAAAGTTAAGGGGGAAAAAATTCCTGTCAGGACCATGCAGTTAACACAGGCTGAGTATAAAGGAGCTGCCCCTCATGCCTAAAAGCAAGGACTGGGCTGAGGAGAACTGTTAGCAAGGTCAACAGTTTATGAGTTCCAGTCTTCTACTGTGTTACTGTACTGGCCTGCACTCAATTTTTCTGCCATGGGCCTTATTGCCGTACCCTGGTACCTCATAAAGGCAAAATTACACCCCCAGCCTTACTATAACTTTTATAATAATCCTGAAGGAATGCATATCCACTAAGGCAGCAGCTGCAAACGGGAATTACTCCCAATAGACTCACCCCACCCTCCTGGAAAATGTCAATAAAGAATGCTGCATTCACTTCTCCTATTGGGGATTACATAGATAAGCATTAGAAAGGTTTATGTTAAAGCTACTAAATTGGTGAAATGATCTCAGTAGCTGGGAGGGGCTCAGGGGCTCATCCACGAGGTGCTGATACCCCAAATGAAGACCATGAGCCACCTTTAATCTCAGAACAAGGGAAGGTTGCCATTCCCCAAGCCACAGCCATTGTATAGAATAGCACGTAACAGCGTCCTTTCAGTCAGTCATTAAGCTGCTCACAAGACCACATTCTTTTCCCATGTAGACATTAGACTCACCCTCTTAGCTGTGGATGACCCCAGAGATAATATAGGTATTCCACTTTAGTATATATTAACCTTGTCTTTACTTAACCAAACAGTATTTCTATGTAGGCCTTTGTAACCGGCATTCTGCTGCCACCCTAGCCTGAGGCTGAAGTTCTCAAGCTGGCCTGGGACTCAAGTTCTCAAGCTGATCTGCGGCTGAAGTCATCAAACTGGCCTGGGACTGAGGTTATTAAGATTCCTAGGAACCCTCTCGTCCAAAAGACCCTTCCCGGTAATCAAGATCTAAGGAAAGAATGCACCAGACAAATGGACTTCCTCATTCTAAGGATTATGACTGTTTATACCTAAACAAAACAGATGTCATGTTTTATGATTACTGTTCCTATGCTTTTAATGCTTTACCTTTTGGAGTAAAATATTTCACTTACTTCCCCTCACCCATCCTACTTCTGTAAAACTCCTTCAATAATAAATACGTATGTCTCCTAGCCATAAGGGTTGTAGTCCTGAGCTCGCTCTGACTGTAGTCGGCTGAGAACATGCTGAAAGGCATTGAGGTCTCAGTCTGATCCCTGATCACCTGTGTCGCCTTCCTGTGTATGAGCTTCGACCCATCCCGGCTGGAACAGGCCTTCTGGCAAATTCCTGTCCTTTAACTTTGGCTAAATCTTTCTCCACTTGCAATGAGTACAATTATCAATAGACTCAAAGACCAGCAATCCTTGCCATCTGAAAATTCGCTTGCAGAGGTCATGCATTCCCACCCACCCAAGAGGATGGGAACACATAGTCCTCCTAAAAGTGTGACTTCAACCCTCCGCCTTGCACAGTAATAACGTGGGCTTGTTTATACACAAACTACAGTCACTACCCTCCAGGCCTGGTTTTCATGCAGACCATTCACATTCATCCTGAGTTTCTGCTTGAGCTGTATGTGTTGAAGGGCACCAATCTCAAATAGAGAATGGTGTTTCTGATCCTCCAATTTTTCTCCAGTAGGTAGCAAGAAGTTTCAGTCTAATTCCATGTATTAATACATGCCATATGACAATTTGAGCCTATATGAACCTCTCAGGTGTAGGTAAACTGAGCTCCAAAATCAAATTTCACAACTTGCTGAATCCAGCATGCTTCTGCGATCTTTCCAAATTTCTGTCCCCATGTCATCATGGCTCCCTCCCTACCCTACCTTTTCCCAATCTCTCTTCTCCCACAGCTTTCAAGATGGCTTCTAATGACCTCCTGGAATTCACACCCACATTGTACCAGGGGTAGTTTGTGTGTTCACCAGATGTGGCAGAAGTCATTGTATGTAACTTTTTTTTAATGTTAAGATTTTATTTACAAAGCTTTTTTGTTGTACAGAAAGTAAAAATGCTGTTACAATCTTGGTGTAAGTGGTAGCCACAGACAGTTGACTCACCAATCACAGCTATCCACGCTACCAAAAGTCTTACACGAAAACCTAACAATGCTTATAGTTTTGTTGGGGTGAGGTATGTAACCTTTGAGAATAGGCTGTAAAAGATTGGAGCTTCTATCTTGGGTGCCTCTCATGGGTCTCTTTTATCTCCTTTTGACATGGCGGGTATTGTGTCATGATCAGCCAGATGGAGAGACTCACATGGTATGGAACTGAAGTCTCCTGCCCACAGCCATGTGAATGAACTTGGAAGCTTACTCTCATCCAAGTAAAGGCAGGGAAACTTGAGAAATGCTGAACTAGTACCATTCAGCAAAGTCATTCACAAATTCTAACCCTTAGCAATGTATGAGATAATAAATGCTGTGAGATGAAAGCTGCTACATTTGGGAGTAATTTATACACTGCAATAGATAACTAACACACTCTCCCACCCACAGTCCCACAGTGCATAGCTCAGTCCCTTGTACCGTCCACAGGAAATTCAAACACACACACCAAGTGAGTTTCACTAAATGTACGTGGAGCCACAGGGGAGGAGAATAGTACATGGAAGCAAGTGGTAGCTTCCCTTTCCCTTGGCTCTCTCTCCATGCCCCTTCTGAGAACTGCCACCTTCTGAAGACCTGCATGTCAGAAACATGACCATGATGCCTTGTGACATTTCCTAGGACATCTAATCCAGTCTCTTCCTCATATCCCTACCCACCGTCATGTCAAATTAGCTTTAAAAGGAGGCCACCCTGCTAAGTAAACTGCTTCTTTATTGACTGTATCATATGCATCTTTCCAAGCCAACAAATACCCCCTTATTTTTTAGAGAGAGAGATTTTTGCCATAGGGGAGATAAAGAGAGACAGAAAGCGAGAAATCATCTTCCAGGGCGATGACCATGCTGCAATCCCTTCTCCTCCATTCTCCTCTCAGGATCATGGGCGCACTTCCACATGTGCCTGGCGTGAGCTCTAAGTCGCTAGGTGGGAGTCCAGAGACATTACACCATCTGTTGGTCCCACAAATAGCCTTTTTTTTTCCCTTGGAGAGGATTTTGCTGTAGGGCATGTGCGCTCACCAGGCAGACAGAGAGAGACAGAGATACAGAAAGTGAGAAATTACCTCCCAGGGGGGATGGCCATGCCACAATCCCTTCTCTTCCATTCTCCTCTTGGGATCTTGGGCACGCACACACACACGCATCCAGCGTGAGTTTAAGCCACTGGGTCCTGGACACAAACTGTGGTTGACTACATGGGAGTCCAGCAACATAGCCATTACTGCTGGTCTCCCACAAACAGCCTTTTAAAATATCTTTTCAATCATTGAAAACTTTTTCATTGTGTATAAATATAACAGAATTTATTCACCTAATCCATTCTGTGCTATATTTCAGTTATTTCCTATATTTATAAATAAACTTTAGTGAATATTCTTGATCTTCAGCAATTTTCTTAGGATAAACCTCTGGACAAATAAAGGTGAGGAAACGAAGAGTGTTTAAGCTGTTAAAGCTTTTGGTATTCATTGACTCGCTGAGTTCCCAAAATGATAATAACATTTTTGTAATGATTGATAGTGGTGTCTGACTGGACTTGAGCCCCCATTAGCATGAGGGTTATTCAAATATATTTCTGAAATGTTTAACCTTAGTTAAATGCTGTTATTTTAAAACATGGATCCTACACATCATTTGTTTCAATTATGAATGAACTCATTTTCTATCACATAACTATTACTGATATATAAGAGAATAACAGATTTTCCCATATCTGATTTCCAACTATATTTCTGAACTCTTTTATAGATTTTGAGCTGATAAAGTTTTTCAAGAAGAAAATCATATGTTTCATAAATAATAATAATGACATAATCTGTATGTCTTCCTTCCCCCAGCCTAGTCTTCATTATCTGTCATATTACATTAGCTAAAATGTATAAAATAATACTGAATTATAGAAAGGCTGTGGCTATCTTTTCTTGTTTCTGGCTTTAGTAAGGTTGTCTCTAATGCTTCTCCATTCAAAGTAATGCTTCTGGGGCCGCAGGTGGCATGGTGGTTAAGGCAGCTAGATTCCCACACAACCAACCACAGTTCAAGTCCCAGACCTGCAACTTGAGAATCATGCCAGACATGTGGATAAGCATGTCCAGAATCCCGAGAGGAAAATGGAAGAGAAGGAATTGTGACAGGGCTGGGGGTGATTTCTCATGATTTCTCATTCTCTCTCTCTCTCTCTCTCTCTCTCTCTCCCTCTCTCTCTCTCTCTCCCCTCTCTCTTTCTCTCTTATAAGTGCACACATGCACCATATGGCAGAGACCTAATAAATAAATTTAAAAAAAAATAATGTGATGTTTCCTTTTAGTTTAAGGTTGGTGTCTTACTCAGAAATATTTCAGCTGTTCCCAGGATTAGAAAGCTAAACTCAATCTGGTTTACAAAGTAAATTAAAAGTCCTACAGCTAGTTTGTATAAGACCTGATGTAACCGATCACCTCTCTTCTCGGGCTTATGCCTAAGACCACTTCTCTTTCAAGATAAGTTTCCAGAGGCTACTCAGGGCTGCATGTGTTTTCTTGTTCAAATACAACAGGAGAACATCCCTCCAAGTAGCTGCTTTCCTAGGAGTCAAAAGAAATGTCCTTGTGTCTGCCATTCTGAGATGAATACTGAACTTGAGCTGTGAAATATTGCTTTCCTTTACCAAAAGTGAACGTTTTCTGTTAAGACTTCTCCCTTCAGATTCGTTTCTAGTGGGTAGGGCTACCTCTTCACCTTCTCTCCATTTATCTCTGTCTCTCTCTGTCCCACTGTGTCTCCTTGTGACTATTTCTTTTCAATTTTTTTAAAGGTAAAGTATTATCTGGGCTCTCAAGCCCTTCATTTATTGTGCTAATTTGTGCTTTTCTCCATTTCATTTAGGAAAGGCACACCCTCAGGCCCATACTGAGTTGGATACCAAACTTAAGCTATGAAATATTTCATTTTTTGCTTTTTAAAATTAAAATCTAATGTTTTTATTATCTTTTTATCATCTTTTTTCTTTCTCCTTTTTCATTTTATTTCTTCTTCTTCATTCTTCTTCTCTAATTCTTTTCCTTTTTTTCTTTATTTATTGGCTCTTCAGTCTCTACACATTAAGTGTCTAGACAGGTCCAAGTGAGGAGGATCCAAACATCTGAATATGATTAGGGTCAGAATATCCATCCATCCCCGCTGAATCTGATGCACAAAATGTGAAAACATAATGGAAGAGAGATTGCAGATCACCTCTTCCTGCACACCTCTGAATGCTCAGATTGAACTTCAAGAATTAAGAAGAAATACACCATTCATCAGATAACTAAAAATCACCACAGTGTCACAAGAAAATGGGAAAGCATGAAAATGCCTCTCCTCCAAGGGAAAAGAATAATTCCTCTTAATTTTCAGACCATACAATGAAATTTATGGAGATGTCTGACAAAGAATTTAGATTATTCATAGTGAAAATACTAACAGAGATGGAAGAGAAGAGAGACAATGAACTGCAGAAGAGGCAGGAGAAAGGAGCTGATGATTTCCAGGGGCGGAGGAAATTCTTACAAGATCTAAAAGAGGAAATACACACCATAAAAAAGAATCAAATGGACCTGTTAGAGATGAAGGCTATAATACAAGAAGTCAAAATCTCCTGTGAAAGTATTAAAAACAGTCTAGATTATACAGAAAATCAAATCTCATAAGTAGGAGATAGAGTCTCTAGCCTAGAAAAACCCACCATAAGGACTGAGAAAATTACCCCCCAAAATGAGAATAATATATGAGAAATACTAGATACCATCAAACGTCTAAACATCTGGATAATTGGTATCTCAGAAGGCA